GGCGAAGACATCATTTTGGAGATGAACCATGAAGAGTTGTTGCATCAGTTCGACTGTATTCAAAACGAATTAGATGTCTTAACACAGACCGAGCAAAAGGCTTAGAAATTGATAGAAAGTTCCTTCGTAAGTACGTTCAATGTAAAATAATAGTAGTATTGTTAAATTAAGTTAAACTTAGTAAAATTTCACTAAATTTTGCAATACGTTTGATGACATTAGTTTAGGAAAATTTATTAGACTTTTGTAAAACAATTAATCAAAAGTAATATTGGTGCAAGGAATGCAATGCAATTAGTCAGCTTTATAGCAAAGATTTTTTACTTGTAAAAAATTGTGATCTTGTATTAGACTCAGGAAACGGGAATAACTCTTATTTGAAAATATATAGCTTTTGGTAATTCCAGATTTTAAAATTGAAATGAATTACATTGGGCTAATTATATCACATGATATCAACACTTCAGATAATGGAGGGTTGGACCGGCTACCATCCTTTCTTATATAGACGGGCAAGCGGGTGGGTATTTGGGGTCAGATCACACGAATCGGTCACATGATTTATTTGAGCATTCTTATATAGCAAGTGGTTTCATAATTAGGTGTTCTTTGGCGAATTTAGGACGTGCTACATAATTTTTTAAACTATACTTTTCGAGGACTATGGGCAATAAATTATGTTCACGGGGAAGTATGTCCGCCCTTTTTTTTGATACAGAAAACATATTTTTTGTTTGATAAGATTAAATATGTATTTAGTAGTAAAAATCATCTGTTTGCATCCGCTCCTTTCACTATGATTTTATTCTATATAATTATATATCAATATAATTAGGTTTAAATAGTTACGGTAAGTGTTTTACACTTGCTGTTGTGTATAATTGTGTTATCTCTAGTACTACTCTTCACGCCTTGTCTTAACTAGGCATTACAACCGTGATTCAGTTTCGTTACGGCATCTACTTGTGTCCGTCTCCTAGCTTTCTGCTGTTAATAACTCAATACAATTTCTTTAACCCTCTCATGCCCGAATTAAAATGGGCGTGGCTAAAATTTTTTTGAGTAGACTTATAAGCTAGAGTTGACCGCAATATCAACTGACAAAAATTTCAATGTCCTAGGTGTCCTGGTTCAAGAGCTGCAGGATGTTGCGTATATGGGCAATGGGGTTATATATTTAAAGTCAAGTTGATTTTTTTTTTTTCAAATGCCGTTTATTTATATTTATGTATGATAGGACACGAAACAATTTTTTTTGGGGATTGGAGCACAAATGCACATTACATTTGCTGCATTTACAGCTTGGAAATCCAGTGCTGCATACTCTACATCTTCCTCTTGTTCCCCATTCCGGCCAATGATTATAACCATCAAGTCGTATTGAATTTGCTGGGTCTGCAACATAAGCTCTTTTACAGGGGTTTGATTCGGAGCCCGTAGAAGGAGCGGGTGATGATGGAGCTGGTGATGATGGAGCTGGTGATGATGGAGCTGGTGATGATGGAGCTGGTGAATTCATTGTCAAAAGGAGTGATGATGGACGACCTCTCTTTTTGGCGACAACTGTAGTTTGACTTGCGTTCAAAAGCTCGGAACCAACATCCAATTGGAAATTTATGAGTGGCATATGCTTCAATTCGCCGTCTGTATGTGTGATGTCTCTGCGGTACAACAACCAACTGTTTACTAAACTTGAATTTATGCACCAGTATACTATCCGCATGTACCATTTGAGCGTTTGTTGATTTTGTACAATTCAAGCAGCATGTCCGCAAGATCAACCCCTCCCATGTGTTTGTTGTAACATTCAACTATTCCTGGACGAGGTATAGTTATAAACTTCTTCTCTTTGCGGCACCATCTGTTGCATTCACTCATGGGGTTCTTACCTGCATAATTTGAAACTAATTGTACGCTTTTATTATCATACCAACGACAAGCAATCAAGTTGTGCGTTGCTTCATATTTGAAATCGCTTGATCCTCGTCCTCGTTTTTGTAGTTCCTTCTCACTACTTAGAGTACAATTTTTCAATCGGTTGCTTCTAATTGTACCAACGGCTAATATGCCTTTTTCTTTCAGAGCAATCAATAAGCTTATTGAAGAAAACCAATTGTCAAAAAACAGTTTGAAATTTTGGTTTACTGGCATATTGGATGATAAAAATAGCACAATGTCTGATGATATTCCCAAGCCATAAGACTTGCACGTACCTTCTCCAATGTAGAGAGTAAAATCATATATAATTCCAGATACACCAGCTCTCGTAAACATTTTGAAACCCCACTTGTGGGGCTTCATTGAAAGATATTGTTTCAAACTATGTTGACCTAAGAAAAGAATGTACCATTGTTTTATTCAGAAATGTATTCACAAATAATAAGTTACCTTTATATGCAATCATTTGCTCATCTATACTTTGGAATTCTTCCTGCGAAATTTCATTGTATTTTTTTTTTATGGCGTCCAACAGAGGCCGAACCTTGTACAACTTGTCATATTCAGGTGTTCCCTTCTGAGGCTGTTTAGAATTATCGTTCAAATGGAAAAACTGTTTAATTTTTTCGAATCTGTTTCTCGGTAATGCCGCTAGTTTGAAATTGGCCGCCCACGCCATTTATTTTCGTTTCGTCGCTCCAAAGAATGTTTCGCCATTTTCGTTCGCATTCTGCTCCATGCCATGATGCATGCGAAAGAGCAAAGTCTTTCCTCTTTTTTAAATTCGCATTTCTCATGAGCGGAACTTTGCGAGCTATTCTGCCAGGAAGATTTCCATTCGCTAACCTCCTCCTAACGGTTCTACTGGAGATTATGTTCCCAATTCCTCCTGCAACAGTCTTAGACGACAGAAAAGGTTTTTTTTTTACCATGGACAAAATGTAACTATCGGTCGTTAAAGAGGTTTTTTTGATACCCCCGCGGCGGTCTAACGAGTTTGCAACTTTCAAAGCATTTGTTACGAAATTCTGGGAGCGTCCTAATGTTTCAGCAATAAATTTGTAAGTTTTTCCTTGCTTACGCATATTTTGGACCAGCTTCCTCTCCTCAATGATGCAGTGGTTCGATCGTCACATCTAATTCAAAATTTTACTTATATTCTGCACTAGTAATTTAGCACAACATACAGAATTTGTGAATAAAGCTTTAACAGTTTTAAAAATACGGCAGACACACCTATTTTCGTGACCACGCTAAATTGCTCGGTTTGCAAGTAAATAATTTTTTTGTTTTTGTAATACACTTATACAAGATAACTGTTTTAATTTGACAATTTAAAGGCAACGCCTACTTATTCTATCGATTATTTCAATTAATTTGAAGTCAAATGTCGAAATATCTGTAAATTCAGTTATATTTGAGCTCACACCTACACTGGCCAAAAAAAGTATTCGACATATGTATTTTTTTATGTATTTTTAAAATATTCCATAGAATAAACAAATAAAAGACCAAATAACAGTGCTTTTATAAGCAATAATTTATTTAGTTTGTAAATTGATGAGTTTTATGATAATAAAAATTACAAAACTAAACAAAAAAGCGCAAAAACTGAATTACTCTAAAAATAAAAGCAAAAAAAATATTCGACAATTCATGTAAAATCCAAGTTTGAAAACAAAAAAAAGTTTTTTAATACCGCGTAGCTCTTCCTTTACTTCGGACTACTTCTTTTAAACGTCTTGGTTTTGATTCGACCAACTTTCTTGTTATGGATGGGTCTATATTGTACCACTCTTCCATTAGTATCTGTTCCATTTGGGTTTTGTTCGTAAAATGGCGCTGTCTCAGCCTTCTTTCTAAATGATCCCATAGATGCTCTATGGGATTTAAATCTGGACTTTGAGCAGGAGTTTTAATTACTCCAGGGCAATAGTATAAAAGCCAAAGCTTTGTATTTAGTGCGGAATGCTTTGGGTCGTTATCTTGGTAAAACTGAAAAGTCGCTCTGATACCGAGATTTTCTGCACTAGTTCGTAAGTTTCTCTTCAAAATGTCAATGTATTGCATGTGGTCCATGATTTGGCGAATTGGCTCCATTTTTCCAACGCCTGCTGCCGACATACACCCCCAAATCATAACGCCTCCACCTCCATGTTTCACAGTTGCCACAGTATTTCGCTGTTCCAAATCTGTATTGGGTTTTCTGTACACAATTACCTTGAATGAATGAATGAATGATAATGAGAAATGCACTGCGACCTTTGGTCTATTGTGCCCTCTCCTTCCTTACATTGCCTAACTTAGCCCCAGCCCATTGATGACAATTGATGACAATTACCTTACCATCACATCCAAAAAGATTGAATTTGCTCTCATCTGCAAATATCACCTTATTCCAAAATTCAGCGGCCTTGTTTATGTACGTTTTTGCAAACCTTAATCTTTCCAATCAATTTTTTTTTAGAGATATATGGCTTTTTGCGCGCAACTCTTCCCCTGTAGTCATTGATTTTCAAATAATTTCGTATGGTTTGGGGTGTCACATCTATATTTAAGTTTTCGTGAACAGTTTTGGAGAGAACCGTGGCATTTGTTTTTGGTTCTTTCTTGACCTGGCGAACCAACCAACGTTCGTCTGCTTTAGTTAAGGCTTTTGGACGACCACACCTTGGATGATTTTCAACCGA